CCACAGGCGACGACCTCCCAGGGACCTCAGGCCAAGGGAGGGCAGGGCGTGCTACCAGAGCAGGGAGAAGAGCCAGGCTCTAAGCCAGCTAATCCTCCTCTTCCTTGGTGAAAAGTCCTTCCCTTTTCCCAAGTATAAACATGCTGGTTTCCACAGCATTGCTCTCAGCAAGCTGTTAACTGCTTCCTTGCAAGCACGCAGAGGCAAAGATTGTTTCAGGGGAATTCCTTGGTGAAAACACACAGGCTTTTTTCATACAAACTGCTACCATTTGCAGGATTGCTTCTGCCCCTGCCAATGTCAAGCACGTCAGCACTACCCCAACAGCTGATAAACGGCATCTCCTCCCCCTGCAGAGCATGTGTCAGCCCAGGAGACCTGTCCTCCAGAATAACCCTGAAGCACCAATATGAAGCAAGCACGTACTTGGCCAGAAGACTGCCCTTCCACCTTCCAACGTCCCTCTCACCATTCATGACATGCCACCACAAGCAGAGGCAGTGAGGAGAGAGACAGGTGACTCCAAGCCTCCAGCTGCCTCTCCAATACAGTTACCCACACACTGCTGAATTTACAAGGTGTCAGCTCACCAGTCCCAGCTGAAAACCAAGGCAGCACTGGATGCTTTGCTGCCCAATTGGTGCTGCTCAGACAGCAATCGCTCCCCAACGAAAACAGACAGCTGGTGGGACGGTCGGAGACAATGTGGTCAGGAACAGCCCGCTGACACCTCCTGCTACGCCGAGCCCGAAGCACGGGAAGCCACGCACAGCAACGCCCGCCCAGGAGGGGCCCACGCAAACCTCTCGGCCCCATGCAATGCCCACGCTGGGTGTCTGACCCCGACCTCAGGGCAGGACAGGCCTTCAGCGCTGGCAGTGCGAAGCCGCTGCTTCTCTCTGTTACTATTCGTGTTAGATGCAGCCCCTCAGCCCAATTTGCAGCCGCCCAGGTGGCCGTGGCAGGCAGGCGCAGCGCAAGGTAAGGATGGTTGAGAGATGCTGCCCAGGACCTGCACCTCGGCACGCGGCCCTGAGGATGGGGACGTCTCCAGCCGCAGCCTCACGTATCGCAGCC